TTCAGCTTTCATGCTTTGAACTGTTTCAAGAACTTCCTTCACTTTTTTGGATGTTTTTTCTTGGGTTTCTTTAGGTTCTTTAAGAGATTTGTTTATTTCTTGAATTTTTTGGTTTGTCTTTTCCTCCATTTCGTGTAATTTTTTGTTTGCTTTTTCTTCTATTTCTTTAAGGGATTTTCTTGTTTCCTCTTTAAAGGTCTCTATCATCTTGCTGAGATAATATTTGAGGTCCATCTCATCTTCTTGCTCTATGTTGGGCTTTTCAGGTCTTGTTGGAGTGGAGTCCCTAGATTCTGGTGGTGCCCTATTGGTCTTTCTGTTGTTGAGTGAAATCTTATTCCGTGTTCTTCCCATATCTTCTTTTAGTGGGTGCAGGTGGTGTCTCTCCATCTCCTCTTGTGACCCAGTGGTGTGTGGGGGCCAGGAATTCAATGTCCACAACTCTGGATGGTTTTGTCTCTCCTGGTTGTCTCCTCACTCGTTGTGTATCGGTTGACGGAAAGAGATGGAAGAGTGGCGTGTTTCCAGATTCAGGGAGCTCTTCCTTGTTTGTGTGTGTCTACCCCAAGCAGGCGGGCGAAGGCCCAGTGTGGTCGGGGTGAGGATGGTTTGAGTGAGGGTTGGGTAAGGGCAGAGGCTCACTCACCTCATTCCTGGGTTGGTCGGTGGAAAGGGATGGAAGCGTGGGGTGCTACCAGAGTCAGGGAGTAGGGAGGTCCTCCCTGCCTGGGCATGTCTACCCCAAGAAGGCAGGCGCAGGCAGGGGGGTGGTGGTCGGGGTGAGTGATGGTTTGGGTGGGAGTTGGGTAAGGGCAGAGGCTCACTCACCTCGTTCCCGGGTCGGTCGTTGGAAAGCATGGCATTTAATGCTGCTTTCCTCCATAGAGACAGTATATGGTCATCATATTCAGCCTGAACCTGTGGGTCAGCATAAATACCCATTTGTTAGCATAAAAACCCTCACCAAGAATCTTATCTGAGGGGGCTTCAAAACCTTCCTTTATGCCTTGATGCTCAAGGAGCTTCACCTCTTCCCTGACCAATGCCTTCCACTGGATTTGGCATGAATTCTCAAGTACAGCTGTTACCAATTGTTCCCAATCTGTGGGTGTCACCCTGTTAAAGGATGTCCATGAATCTAATAGATTTTTTATGGGCTATGGAGACCATATGAGACAACTTATTCTTTAATATTCTTAAGATCCTTCAGCTGTATAGATTGCTATAATAAGCCATCTGTCCCTGAGGGTGTTTCTTAGAAGTTGGCTTTTCTATCATGGTAGCTGGGTAGACTAATGGTGTACCAGTAACAACCTTAGAAGAATAGTCATGTTACCTTAGTGGAGTAGGTGCCTCGGATTGGACTGAGTCTGCCTCTGAGGCATTCCAATGATCTTTAAGCCTAGTAATGATATCCTTATGAAAAGTTTTAATCTCCTTTAATCTTAAAAGATTCCAAGCATGTTAGTGAATCTGTAAATTGCTCTAACTGCTCCTTTACATATTTTTCTAGGTCTTTAATACACTCATCCTTAGACAGCATCTGGATGGTATGGAATCTGCCTTCTAGGTATTGGAGTCTAGATTCAACGTCATGATTTGCTGATTTTGAATCCTCGGCAATCGAGCGTATGGACCTAACTAATCTGTCAGCCCTGTACTGTAAATTATCTTCCAAACATTCAAATCTAGACTCAAATTTGTGATCTGCTACCTTAGATGCTTCAATAATTGATTGAATGGCATTGTCCAATTCCTCAACCCTCTCCTGGGTATTTTGCACCTTTGCATCTAGTTTCTGGGTAACAGTGCCTATATTAGTTTCTACCTGGCCTCAGATATTCTTTAGTTCGTCTTGGTCCTCTGACAGCCTAGCCTCTAATGCCTCAGACATGGAGGATCTCTCTGTGTTTATCTTATCATAAATACACTGCATCACATCTTGGGTAACAGACAGCACTGTCTTTAGTGTATTGGGCACAGAGCCAAGCTTATCATCCAATTTCTGTTCCACTTGCTGCACAATTGTGGCCTGACCTAATCTGTTCTCCGAAACCTCATTGCGTAAAGCTATTATTTTCTGCAAGCTGGTGGTCAGATTATCTTTGTCCCTGTTCCTGAGACCTCTGGCTAGTAATATTATTTGTACCAGCAAGCTAACTGTCATTACAGCATATAGACCAGTAATTGGCAGATTAGCATCATCCTCAAACATTGAATTCACGTAATAAGCAAAAATATTACCAATTTTAGCAAATGATAAATATTCCGCCATAATTTTACCTGATTTTTACTCCAGATGCAGTAACTATCTTTGACCAGCAGGTGGTGTAGGCGTCCAGCTACTGGCACAATGTTTGGCAGTGGTCGGTCAGGCAAGATGGTGGCTGCGCTTATCTTAGAGAGTATATGGCCTTGCAGGGGTAATCACTGAAAAAGATGTGGCTTTACCACCACAGCAGCAAGGGGACGCTTCGGACCCTGCTGAAAGCCAAGGCCTACTTCCAAGGCCTCTCAGCTAGGGGCAGAAGGCCTCTGGGCTCGGGTAGGCGGCAGTCTGAGCCGGTCCAGTGCCTGCAGCTAGAAACTGCGACAGTAACCATGGGGATGTCTGTGGAATCCTCCCAACTGGGAAGACTGTTTTGAGCAGCTCAGCGGCAGCGGGATTGAACATGTGTGGTGCAGTGGGTCGGCTGCGAGCCAAAAGCACCTGTGGAGAGAGGGAGCTTTCCCCGCCTAGGCCAATGTCCCAGTGGGACCCGCAGGCTGTCCCAAATGGAGGCTAGGTTTCCAATATCCGACTTCTTGCACCAGATAATGTGGGAAATTACCAATACGGAGCCAGGTAGAAATACCAGGGATATTAATAGGAAAAAAGCCTTACTTACAGAGCGACCTAGCCAGCTAGCGTGGAAGCAGTCTGTACAGCAAGCTGAAAGCAAATCGAAACCGAAACCAGCCACCTGAATGCACCTCACTCTACATCACCCTGACCATGCCCTCGCAGGTGTAGTCAGACACACCTGTAGCCAGCCCCTAAGCAGGCGTGGCTACAGCATACCCTACAATAATAAGACTGTGAGATTTATTTGGGAGCTGGATGATCACCCCCCTCAAAAGAGCAAAGAGTTAAAAAAAAAACAACCAACTGCATTCTACCTCAGTTTCTTTCCCACTAGTTGTGATGCAGTTGCAACATCAGTTTTACTTAAAAATTTCTGGTGATATATGCTTTTTTAGTGTTGACTAGCATAATATTAACCAGCACTACTATTAATGCCTGATTTTAGAAAAAGAAGCAGAAATTATACAGTGGAATGAAGAAAGCATCTTCAAAATATGGTGCTGGCATAACTAGATACTGTCATGTTGAAGACTTCAGATAGATCCATATCTGTCGCCATGCATATAACTTGAATCCAAATGGATCAAAGACTTCAACATAAACTCAGTCACAGTGAGTTATTAGAAGACAAAGTGGGACAAACCCTTGAATTAATTAGCAGACATGGCCACTTCTTGAAGATGACACCAGTAACACACACAATGAGATACACAATTAATATATGTTACATCTTGTAACTGAGCAGCTTCTGTAAGGCAAAGCAGCCATTCATCAAGATAAAACAACAATCCACAGATTGGGAAAAGTGTTTATTGCATTCTCAGAAGAGTTCTTGCTTTCTTTTGTTTGCTTGGTCAGCCATAAACAGAAGGGATTTTAGTAACCTGAACTTTCTGAGTGGTGTTCATCCTGTCCTTTTGGGCAAGCACCCATCAGACTCGGGGATGTGGACCAAGTTTAGAAGAGTAGGCATCACTAAAACCATTCTTTACTTTCTGTTTTCTCTGTGCCCTGATATGATATGAAACCATGTCTGCTTTACTGGGGAAGAAAATGTGGAAATATTCAGAGACATAAGGAAGGAAATTGTAAATTAATATGATTAGGACACAAGCACACATAAGTTGTTAACATTTCTTTAAGGAATGGAGAACACAATGGATCTCCTTTAACAAAGCTTATGACATCCAAAGCTTTTCTTTCAGAATATGTAGCTTGCCATAAGTAGTACCATGGGTTGGATGGGAAGATTCTGATTTGGAGTACTGAGGCAGCGACTGGCATGATGTACATCGGTAGCAATGAGACAGTTTACTACAGTGGCCACAGGAGGGGCCAATGGTTGTTATTATATGTGATAATTTTCAGTTATGACTACAGAAATGAGAAACTTACTTGGAGTGCAATGCAAGATGATGCTTGACCAGGCACGAGTGTTCCTGATGCCCGATGCTCAGGCTTGATAGTAATATTGATAGGGATTATCTCAGTGACTTATTACCATCACTGAAAATCAATATTTCATCAAAAGCCATTCAGTGCAAGACCCACAACTTAGGATAAAAACAGGCACATGGTAACATGCAAGGAGAGTAATTTATTAGTGCAAGACGTTGAAACCTTCACATTAGGCAAGAAAGTCAATTTATCTGTGAGAAGCAATGGAGACCAGGAAGAGCCACGTTTCAATGTTCCTTTAGTTTACAATATGCAGTGACTTCTCCCTGGAAATAAATAGAAAGCAATAGAAGAATGGTGAGCAGAATCAGGAAGTTCCCTGAGAAGAACAGCTAGCAAACCAGTGCTCCATGGAGGAGCACTGCCCCAAGGTCCGTACAGTGTCCTTGGGGGAATACTGAATTGCGATGGGGAAATTACATGAAATGATGCACATTAGTGGAAATCTTTCCAAATTCAGGCAAATACACTCTGAATGGACTCAACAGTGTGTCTTGATTTTCTGTGTCTCTGCTATTAGGAGGCTTACAGAGTATGTCCCAAGTCCTCAGGCATAACTTTCTATGATGATTTAGAATTGTGAACTCCACCTTCTTTCCAATGGGGTAACCAGGGGACACCCAGGGCAAAAGTGGGTAAGAAGTATTGGAAAGATGAGGTGGCAGACTCCTGGCAGGGCCAGCAATGGTGGCAGAGAAATGGATCCTGTCAGTCTTTTGCTCTTAAGGAGGTTGTCTCTAACTTCCTTCCTCCTATCTGTGTGATTCTCATCCACCAACTCTCCCCACAGCATTCAAGAGAGATAATATCAACTCATTAAGTAGGCAGCAACTTCAGCAATGTTCCAAGTAGATTAACAATAGTGTTAGCCCTGAATCCTCCCTTTGTAGGGTCCCATTTGTCCTTCTTGGGATGCCCCAGAGTGTTGTATCTAGGGTTGACCTCTAGAAGGAGGCACCAATCCCGGAGGCAGTTTATAACTGAACTCAGATTAGCAGTGGATTCCTGAATCAATGACAGTTGGGATCTATATTTCCAGTGTTTCCCCCCTTCTATGTGTTCCCCACAGAGTATCAGGTCAACTTCATTTGTGGCGTTCTGAGTGTGTAAAGCAAAATGCACATACCAAAACTTTTGCTATTTCTGCTTTCTCTAAAGTGCTCAAATTGCTGTCTACACATCGCTTCACTTCCAGTTTTGCTTCAACAGCCTCAGGAGGTGGATTATATTTCTTAAGTGTCTTTTCATAGGTTTTCTCATTCCCCTTTAGGAATACAGTGCTTTCATCAATAACTGCTGGACAGACCATTGCAGCATCAGCTGGAAAGTATAAGGGAAAGAATTCAGTTAGCCAAAATTACTGTTCATTTTTAATTAATTTTTTTTTACTTGAGTCTCTCTGATAAAAGGCTGCAGACTGGACATGATAAACAGTATTATAGCTCACTCCTGTGACTGAAAAAGAACAGCGTGACTTCCTCAAGGTCACACAGCAAGGACTGAAGAAAGATTAACATTGACTCTACGTTTCTGTATTTGAATTCACATTCACAACTCCCAAAGTTTCTGTGGCTTGCTGAAATTCATTTTTCTAGCATTAATAGCTGGAGGTTTGACTGCATCTTCTGTAGCATTTTCACGAGTCTTTGTTAGTTGAAAAAATGAGGTTTTGTGTCATTCAACTTTGACATGAATAACAGAGTTAGAATTTTACAAGAGATGGGAAAAGGAAAAATCAACCAGACTGCTTATATGTAGAATGGCGACATTTTGAAATTGATGGAATTAGGTCATGGCATCAAGTACAGTTCAAGGTAAAAAGCTAAAGCTACAAGAGCTTTTTTGTTTTGTTTTGTTTTTCTTTTCTTTCTTTCTTTTTGTTTTGAGATAGTGTTCTCTGTGTGTCTCTTCTGTCTTGGACTTGAACTTCAGATCAGGCTGTTCCCCCAACTCAGAGATCTGCCTGCTTCAGCCTAATGAGTGCTAGGATTAAAGGGGTGTGTCACCACTGTGCAGCTGAGTTGATCAATTTTGACTCACACCAGAGCATATCCTGGAAACTGTGACAAGGTTTGCCTTTCCACATGGATGCTCAGACTTACTTCTAGGGAGGGTAACAGGGGAAGCTGACACCTTCCTGTGGTTTATAAAGATCCAGATGAATGTTTTGGCAGAACTGAAGAAATCAGCTCTCCTAATCTAGGTTCCACATTCCCTTCAAGACTCTTTAAAAAGCAAAATAAATAAACAGCACCCGTCTCCATCTCCAGAGGTGGTGTGGGCTGGCCTCAGATAAAAGTTCCTCATGTTTCAGCTTTACCTAGCTTGGATGTCAGGGATGGATCACCTGACCCGGTTTTCCCTAGGTCAGGACAATACAGTCCTTAGGAGGTACCCAAACAGCATCTGATGTGTACCAAAAGCAGGTTCCACTGGGCTCAAGGGCATGTTGTAGACCATTGCATGAGGGGTAGTTAGGCAGTCAGAAGGAGATGCAGAAAGAAAAGAGAGTAGCTGCCCATGGAACTTGGTTCATTGTAAAGGTACTGAGCATGTAGAATGTTCTGTTCACACACAGATGTGTTGTTTGCAAGAAAATTAGTTAATTTTAGGAAAATGGATGTCTTAGTGGTAATGAATGTACTGTTTCTGTACCCATTATTGGTAGGACCTCCAGAAAAGTGATCAGGCTACACAAGCCTGCTTCTTCTCAGAGTCTAGTGGAGGAACTTGAGATGTATCACTCACAGACTTGGGAATCACTGATGGTGGAATGGAGCTCTCTCATGTTACCTTCCCAGGTACGAAGACAATAAACTGAAAAGTAACACAAACAACAGACTCCCTCTGATGAAAAGCATTTCCTGAACTTTGTTCATAACGGCTGTCTTGTCCTCCTCCCACCTCATCAAGCTTCCTAAGTAGGAGAAGATTAGTTGAATGTATCTGGGCTTTTATGAGGGCAAGAAAAAAAGGCTGGAAGACATTTTAGATCATCTTTTCCTGACTAGAACCTTATAACACATAAACTTACCAACTGTTAAAAGAGACAAACTTACCAGCAGCTATGGCTGGGATTGATCATAAATGATACTCACCCTCATAGCAATGAACAGCCAGGATGACCAGCAGAAGACACAGAGACAGTCTCATGATTCTCAGTTTGTTTTCAGACTTAGCAAATGTGTCTACCAGAGACTCTAGGGACCAGGATATTTATACATGGTGAGGCTTACTGGTCCCACCCTTCAAACACATGTCAGCTCACAAGACCTGGTTTAGGCCCTCCTTCTGTATCACTGAGGGCTGATCCCCAACCCCCTTCATCCTGTTGGGCTGCAGCCCAGGGGAACAGCCTCATGGGAACATCATTGTTCCTTCCCAAGTCCTTTCACATTCCCCAGGAAGCGATTTGTGAAGTTTCAGTTTACTTTTGAGCTTTTGATTATTGGACTTGAGTTCTCTCCATCTCAACAGGCACAAGTGGCTTCTGGACAACAGAATGACATTTCTCCAGGGCACAGAACCTCAAAATACTGGCCCTGGAAGCAGAGCTTTGCATTTGGACTTTGCCAACACTCATCCAAACGCTGGCATATAACCATATCAAAAGATCAGGAAGATCTGAAAGAAAGAATAACCTCAATGCACTGGAAACAGAAAACAAAATAGGCTCCAAATTAGTTAAGGAAGGAAACACTGATAAGACAAAGCAAAAAATTCAGAGAAGAAAGCACAGAAAACACCAATGAAACAAAGACAGTTCTTGAAATCTATGAACTAGGGAAATGCACATCTAGACTAATATAGAATAATGGGGAGATATGAAATGAAAAGTGAGAAACTACCAATTATTCCACAGAAAGAAAACAAAGGATTGGCAGGGGTCCTTATGATCAACTTCATGCCAACAAATGTGACACAATACAGGAGCCATTTCTGAACGTATGTATTCTATCAAATGGAATCATGAAGAATTTTTAAAAACCTTAATAGACAGTAATTTGTGATCAGAATATATATATATATATATATATATATATATATATATATATATAAATTGCATTGTAGGAAATTGTTCCTAAAACATTCTATGAGGCCAGCATTTCACTGATCCAAAATCACACAAAGGCACAGACACACACACACACACACACACACACACACACACACACACCAAACCCACAAAACTCTAGTACCCTTGATGAACATACTTGTAAGAATACTCATCAAAATTCCAACAAACATAATCTAACACACATATTCTTTACTGTCATCATCAGTTTGCAAGGATGAATCAACACATGCAGATAAATACACATTGTGTTGCATCAGCATAATGAGGAAGAAAAACCCCTTCATCCTCTTAGTAGGTGATGGAAGGTCATCATATTAAACTGAATAAGAACACTTTTATGGGCTGGCAAGAGAGTTCATTGAATAAAGATCCTTGCCACTGAAGGACCAAAACTAAAATAAAAAATAAAAGTTTAAAAACTTGAGCCTTAAATCTTTACAGGGAAAGAGAACTTCTAATGGTAATGGAAAATTTAACTCCTTAAATCAGGAGTGCCATAGTTGGCACCAGAGCCCCTGCTCTCAGAGAAGGGTAGGTGTCTGTCCACCACTCCTGTTAACATTCTTTTTTTTTTTTAAATTGCTGCTCTTAAATTTCCCTGTCAGTTGTAAAGATCATTGGCCGAGGGGATAATTGACAGTCCCTGTGACTCTGTAACCTTGCCCTGTCTTAACTTACTCAAATGTGTCTTACTTAAAATATATAGTTACTGTTTAACTCTGTACTTTGTATGACCTTAAGTAACCATGGAAACTTTGAAATTTGTGGCCTTCAACTTATGATCTGCCCCTTTAAAAGGTTCTCTGTTTGGCTGGTTGTCATCTCATTTCCTGCCATGCAGTGTGATCCAAGTTGGCCAGCATGAGCAATAAAAAGAAAACTTTCGCTTTTGCATCAGAGTGTTGACTCCTTTTGTTAGTCTCTGGGCTCCAGGAACCTGGCAAAACAACCCCAAGTCTACTGACCTGAGTTTTCATCCCTGTGGCCCACATGGTGAAAGGAGAGCTGTGTTCCATTGATTGTCCTCCGAACTTCACATGCTTGCAGAGATACACGCATGTCCACACATACATAAAAACAGAAGTAGTGTAAAAATATTTTGTCTATATAGGGTTTCTCTATATAAAAGTTCTGACTGCCTGGGAACTCACTTTGTAGACCAGGCTAGCCCAGAACTCACAGAGATCCACCTGTCTCTGCCTCCTGAGTGCTGGTATTAATGGTGTGTTGCACCACCACCTGACAATAATTATTTTTCAAAAATAGTAAATATTTATTATAAAATCATGGACTGAACTATGCATGCAAAATGTATCTCAATATAAAAAGACCCTTATAATAAGCCAAGGATATCCTGTAACAAAGGATGTCCACTATCTCTGTTTATTCAAAATGTTGGAGTCCTACCCACAGCAATCATACACAGAAAAGTCATAGGCAGACATAATAGATAGAGGACAGAATGCTGTCAGTGTTTGAGGATGCCACGATCTTATATTTAGAAAACACATTCTACCAAAAAGCGTTACAATTTATAAATCCCCTGAGCAAAACTCCCAGTTACAAACCAGCTCATAAAAGCAGCAGTGTTAGTAAACACTAACAGCAAGTTATCTCAACTACAGATTATATGTGTATGTGTATGCTGTCATGTAAAGTGTAGGTCAAGGACAACTGTGTCAGTTCTTTTCTTCAAAGGTCTGTACCTCAGGTATTGAGTTCACATGGCTGGACTCGACAACAAATACCTTTATGCACCGAGTGATCTCACTGGCCCTGCTTATTTATTTTAAATGAAATTTTATTAGTCACTGCAAGGGCCAACAGTCTTGGAGATATGAAAAGAGTATTGTCTGCCATCTCAGCCAGGTTTATTTATTTCTTGGGAGCTGGTGTTTATTTATTTATTTATTGATTTAGTTATTTATTTATTTATTTTTTGCTTAACTGTATTCTAGCCATCAGTCTATCTTCTAGAGACCCTTGGGAAATGCTTTTATCATAAAAATGCACAAAGCAGTTCTCTCAAGAGGTCTCCTCCTGTTAGGTGTTATATGGCATTTGGAGTGGCCAACTCTGCTCATGTGTCAGTATCTGATGTCTTCCAGGAGTCTGGGACCAGGACAGCCCTCAGTGCTACCCAACACCTTCCTTCTTTTCAAAGACTCCACTCTCCTTGCACAGAATCTGTGACTGAATCATCCTTGCAATGTGGTTTAGAGCAGCTGAAACATAAAACCTGTCTCACACATCTGCAGGAAGCCGGACACCTGCAGTTTGTGAACTCCATTTGGAAGCCTGAGGCAAGTCGCTTCTGGAGAGAAAAATTCAGACCAGAAGTGAAAGTTCCTTGTGGGTCCCCTCATTGTCTCCTTAAACAGCTCTTTTTTTTTTTTTTTTTCCAACCAGTGACCATTATACAATCTCTAGAGAATGGCTGCCACCAAGTATCCAGGTAAAAGCCCAAATCACAGTCACGGTCCTTTCAATATGGAGTGGGGTATTGTTTAGAAATGGAAACCACCTTAGTGGTCTCCAGCCCAGTAAGTGCCAGGACAGACACATAAGTGTGGAACACCGAGTGGAGCCCCTCTACATCCTGGTCTGTGAAGCCATGTCCCACTTACTTCTCAAGACATTTACTTGACTGGAGGTTGAAGATTCAGCCTTGGACAAGCAGCTGTGAGTACCCGTGAAGGAGAGCTCAGGTGTCCTTTCTGGAGAAGTCAACTTTGTTCTTGGCAGCTTGTTCTGTGGATTGATGGGAAGGACAGCACCATTAGTCATCACACAGCAAAGCACACTGCGGATAATCAGAGCTTACACTGCTTCTTGGCACTCTCCTTTACTTCTGTTGGTTTAATTCTTTGGTATATCAGCCAACTATACTTTTCATGTTCCTTGTTCTTTCAAGTTGTCCCCATGTTCCCCACTGATCTAGGCTTTCAGACACAAGATTTTGTTTTGTTAGTCTCTTGATCTCATGTGTCCCTGTTCCTTGCCTTACTTGTCCTTGGTGAGAAGCAACTGTCCTCGGGCCCATGACCTTCTCCCAAAGATCAATCTCATTGCTGAAATCATTGTGTTGGATGTATTTTAAATGTTCAACCATGTCACTGTTCTCATTTTCATTGAATGATGTGTGCTGTGAGCTAAAATTAGGCAAGAGCTGCATTTCACCCTTTCATATTAACTTGGCATACAAAAGGTAACAAAATTCTGTATTTTATTTCTACTTTAAAACAACTCCCATTAAAATTGTTCTTAGGTGATTTCCTAGGTGTATATCGTGCATTCTGACTGACTTCCCCCAGCACTCTCCTGTCTCCCTCTCACTTCTGTCTGCCCTCCTTCCCACAAGTTCCTCTCCCACATTTGTGTCTTATTGTTTTGTTTTGGGAGCCACTCAGTTGGACCAGGGCTGTCTATATGAACAGGGTTTGGAGCAGCAACCATCCCTTTCGAAAACCCTTCCCATGCCTGTGTCCTGTACTGTGTGTCTTTCCCTTTTCATCCAGCAGTCTCAGAGTTTGGGGTTTTATGTTGAAGTCTTTGATCCATTTTCAGGTATTTTTTGTGCAGGAAAGAGAATCCTTATTTGCAGATGACATGATTCTGTATATAAAAAACCCTGAGGACTCTAAGAGAAAATGTTTAGATCTGGTAAACTTGATAAATCTCTTAGATCTGCAAAGTAACAGAATACAAAATTAACATGTTAAATCAGTAGCATTCTTATAGTGACAATATATTCATCAACAAATTAGAAAAATAATCCCACCCACAGCATATGCTCAAAAAATGAAAGAACTTGCAAATAAAGAAATATCACACAGTGAAATTAAGCAGGCCCAAAGTCTATACATTTCAATGTATGCCCATACACTTACAGTAGCCATGCTGAAGCTATGGAGCTTCAAACTGGATTTTACACTTTCTCTATTAAAAAATGTTTTCAGGAAATTGTCCACCACCAAAAAAAAATAATGAACAATTGCCAGCAGAGTTGAAAGTAGAAGAATTAGCATCATATCCATTTTGATGATTCAAGTGTCTTTTACCTGTGTTAGGTCAT